AAAATCAAAAGAAAGGCGATCACCGGTATGGGAGCCCTATTTTGGGATAAATCCCCCTCCAAGCTGCAGTCCAAATCAAAATTGTAGTTGCCGTAATGGACCTGGAAAGATCGTGTGAAAGCGAGTCGCCGGGTTTGTGTGGAACATTTAGTGTCTCTCCAATGTCCCTCCCAAATTCACCATGGACTACAGTTAGGTAAACTCACATGGGTTGTGTCAAAATAGAGAAAAACAAAGCGGATTTGGGTTTTCCTTTTGGCTTCCCTTTAGCAAGAAGGAAAATCGGACCCACGCCACGGCCATCTGCTATCCCCTTCGGGAACCCGCCGAGCGTCTGTGGCGGCACAGTCTCCGCCTGCAGCGCTGCCATGTTGGCCAAAAGACACGCCGCCGGGACGCCCTGCAGGGCGTCCTTCTCCTGAGGGCTTCGGCCCAGTTTGGAAAAATCAGAATTTGCAAGGGCCAATTCAGCATGCGTCCAAGCGGAAACAACTACCACTTCAGGCACACAGAATTGTTTGTCCAACAAGCCGAGCAAGTCAACTCTCGAAACACTTGTTCATGTGCGAACGCCGGGGCAACTAAGGCTTGGATGTGCCAAACCTATTGTTCCAGTTTCAGCATTGTTCCATAACTTGGCGTGTTCAAATCTATTCTTCCATTTTTCTTGCTGTTTGGCAGCCCTTTCTTGTGGTATTTTGCTATTTTGGGTTTGAAAGGACCTTTCCTCCAAAATCCGGCGGGCGGAGCCGTAGGAGGTGAGCGCCTCCTCATAGCCCCCCAGCTCGGTCTGCGAGAGAGCAATCAAGCTGTGTGTCTGTGCGTGTGTGGGTCGGTGTTTTTGGGCTTAAAAGGAGACCCAAAAGAAAGCCAGCACTTTTGGGTCTTCACAAACACCCAGTTGTCTCTTTTGAGGGAAACCCAGAGTTGATGCTTCCTCTTACCCCTAGTATGCCCCTCAATCTGCATTTGAAAACTCTCGACGTGCTCATTCTCAATTTGGGGGGAAAGGAAACCAAAGGAAACCAATCCAATTTTCAACCCTTGAGTGTTGATATTCTTGCAGCTCAACTGAAGGCCCGCAGTTTGGCTTTGGACACTCGCGGTTGCAAATCAAGTTGGACCCGCATTGCTTGAGAATCCTGACAGGACAGCCAAATCCATTCCGAACTCCAAGTGAAAATAAGAACACGTGTGCTTTGTTCCGCTTCAATATTGGTGTTTCCCCAAAAAGAGAATCCCCGAAAACTGGTGGGGTGATATACAAAGCGACCTTTCTCGTTCTCAACACAACAAATCCCCCCATCCTCGTCCTGGACTGAGTTTGAAAACCTGGATCGACAGTTGCTGTTTGCTTTCTCAGCCACTATGACTGTGTTTAGACGTGGGACAACACTATATGGTAATTCAAGCACCATCTGGCATGAGCATAATTAGGATGTTTTGGGCAAATGAATGACCCTGGCTATGAACAAAACCAGGTCAACCAGATCTATGTTCTACCAAAAACAACCAGAAAGCACACCTGTGTCACCTGTGGGCAGGGAGGAGAAAAAAATGCTTCGGGCGCTGCGAGGCGTGTGGCACGCCTGGAGGTCCCCGAGCTTTTGCAGAAGCTGCGCCCCCTGCAGCGAGTCCAACCAGCCCTTGGCGTCCAAACAGTCCGCCGCCGCCACCAGATTCGCCTCGTTTCAGGACGGGAGGTTCAATCGGGGTCGGCACATGGGCCTCAGAAAGGTCCACCTTTGCGCCGGGGTTAAAGTAGATGGGACATGGAACACCCAAGACCCGACCTTGGGACCGGACCCCTTCCTTGCGCTCATGGGGAGTGCTTCCTGAGGCACAGGGGCACTCCTGTTAAAAATCCATTCCAGCCGTCCAGGGGCCCGAATTCCAGTTCCCAGTTTGCCAAAATTAGGGGGGGGGTTTGTGTCTTGTTTCTGAAGGTTTAAAGTTCTTCAAGGGAACCCAAGAGACAAAACCCCCGGGTCCAACCTTCAAAAAGCTACGCACCAACATGGGTTTGTTCCCTGGCGAGTTTGTTCAGCTGTTCGACGTCCCATCCTCCGCGCCCTCCAAGTGGTCGAGCTCAAACTGGGCGTCGCTCAGTCGCTCCAGCACCTGCCCCAAGCTTTGGCCCCGCGTTCAGCTACGCAAGAACCACTCAAGCCAGATACGCATTTGAGCGATGGGAAAAAGTCGACTAGAGGTAACAAACACAAATAACAATCAATCAAACGAGCAAAGAAACAAACAAACAAACAAACGAAAAACAATCAAACGAACACGCAAACAGCATAGAGCAGTTACATGCCCATGTGACCCCGTTAGCCAGATGACTTTGTTTGTTTCCCTGATCCAAGCTCCAAGCTCGGGCTAGGGGCGCTCTTCAGCAAAAGGGGTGTGCTCTTGGACTACACATCGAGGGATTTCACTTAGAAAAGGGGGCAAAGCGAATCCAGTGGAATCCACCAATGTTCAGAAGCCCCAAAAGGCCCCTGTGTCTGTGCGTCAAGAGAATGTATGATTGTTTCCGCCAAACTGGGCAAAGGACAATGCTCCAGAAGCCGCAAGCCACCGCCCGGGAAAGCAGAAATTGCCGTTTGACCCCAACCGGACAATTGACGGGATCCCCTAAAGAAAGGTTCTGCACTTGTTGCTTTTTCCATTGGGGGGGGGGGCGATTTCTACAAAAGGCAAGTGGTCTTGGGGCATCACACACACCCACATGTATTCAACCAAGGCATCCCCCAGCCAACGCATCCTGCCAGGCCAGCAACCGCGCCGATGCGACTCCGATTTGCCTCTGTGCCGCTACTCTAGAAGCTCTGAAAATGTCTGGTCCGGTATGGAAATCAGCCCCTTTTTAAAATGAGGGGTCCGGTCCGGGGTTCTTGTGTGGGTCCACCCGCACCTATAGGCAGAAACAAATATGCCGTTTTCCAAACTAAACCTAAATTTGCAAATTCATATCCGTCTGCTTTCGGGAAGCCCCGAACCGCAAGACCCCGTCACAACATTGCCCCACCTCCTCCCTCCGCTCTCCGCCCCGCCGCGCCTCGATGCCGAGGCGCGACGCGAGCGCCTTGGCGCGGTCCAGCACGGCGCGGGCCGCTTTGTAGCGCTCCAAGCTGCGGTCGAAGCGCCCGACCGCCTCCTGCGCCTGCCCCGTCTGCAGCAACAGCCGCACGCCCTCCTGGCGAGGGAAGTTGGAAATGAAAAAGGGGAGGAACAGCTTTTCGTCTGCCTATCATTTTGGAGTCTCCCAAAGCAACTCAGGAAATGTATGTATATAATATATATATATATATATATTATATATATATATATATATATATTTATTATATATATGTGCATCTGTACGTATGTACGTGTGTATATTGGAGCAATGATGTTTGCCAATCGCTTTGGAGTCATCAAAAAGCATAGCCACATCCCTGGCCGAAACCCCTTGTTCATGAATGAGTTATGACTTACTCGATTTGGAAAACCTGCCTCCGAGGAAGCCAAAGTGCTATTGAAATCCACGCGTGCAGTGTCAGGGCGTTGGGCCAAACATAATTCCTGAACTCCTTTGTTTTTTTGGGGCGGAGCACCCCAGCGCGGTGGCGTGTGGCTTGTGCTGCCATTGCTGCCTTCAAACGAGGGATGCGACCCGAGTGCGGTGGAGAAACGGTGGCTTCCAGCCATGTGGGTGATAGTTCCCCACATAGAATTGTCATGGCAATTGTGGTTGCCAACTCTAGGCAATTGTGGTTACCGATCATATGGTGGCTTCTAGACATGCAGGTATCAGTTAATTACCAACAAGGAGTTTTCCAGTCGGCTCATATGACTCATGGCGCCGCGCACTTTCTCCGTGCGACGCGCCTTGGAGTTCAGCAAGCTCTGCTCCTCAAAGAGTCGCACCGCCTCCTCAAACTCGGCGGCGACTTCTGCTGCTTCTCGCGCCTCGAGATGGAATGGGGATGTGCCATACTTCAGGGGAGCCGGCCGGTGCCGGTGCCACCGGCCGCCTTGGTTTCCCTGTTCTGATGTTTGCCAAACAGGGGGACCCTGAAAACCGCAGACTTGAGGGGTACTCCTGCCCCTGCAGATTGACATGGAACTGAAAACAAAGACCCATGTCTCTCTTGGGAGTCCCAGTATTGGTGCGGTGCGCAGCGGTGACATTCTTAACATGCTGCACTCGCTGGTTGACTTTCACATCGGCATACGGCCCGGGTCTGACTGCAGGTACCCCAAGTGGCCGATCGAATTGAAGTCATGGAGATCCCACGAGATCCAGGAGACACACACAAACGTCGAATTGGTGTGACCAAAAAGCTGCCCTGACGTTTGATAATTTAATGTCGATGCAGCTTGCAAACCCCAACCTGATACGTGGCCAGTTTGAACAGTAAACCTCGAACACCTTTGTATGAATCAGTACACAATTGCAAATATGGCTGGAAAGCTTTCCGCTTCTTCTGGACAACTGTTGGATGGGCAGAACCTCCTGGAAACCCTGAAGCAGGCGCGACATTTCTTTTGCGAACCGATTTCAAACACCCTCACCCCGGGGTCCAATTCAACAGTGTTGCCTGTTGGCCAAAAAAAAGGGAACGCTGAACAACTTCATCGTGGTTTTCTCAAACACCCGTCAAACGGAGACTCCTGTTGGCTTCCCTTTTCAAAACACCATCCTAGATTTGGGGTTCAAAACAATTTTGGGACACTCCCAAATCCAGCCAAGAACAGCTCGGTACTTGATGGTGGCACAGTGGGGCCCTTTTGGTATCCACGCACCTAGGTTGTTCAAAATCAAAAGAGAGCCCGGGTTGTAACCCATTTCCCCCCAAAACGCGCCCGCGTCCAAGCCACCGATTTGCTTTTGGCGATGGCGATGTTGGCCTGCAGCCTAGCCCCGTTTTTGGACTCCAGGCGCTGCAGTTGGGTGAAAATGGCCTTGGCCTCTTCGTAGGAGCGCAGCGCTGCCTGGAAGTCGCCTTGCTCCGTTTTCACCAGCCCGATGTTCCTGGGCTGATCCAGGAACCGATTGGGGGACAAGTCACTCCGGGGTTCCATACTTTGGAAACCGGAACCACTGAACTGAAGGAAACCAAAAACCGGAAGCACCTGAAGGGAACCACTGGGCTGATCCTTCTGGAGGGACAACTGGGGATCCATTACCTTCAACACGGAACCACGAACAACTTGTTTGGCATGGACTCCAGGAAACCAACCAAATGGATACACTGTTGGGTAGAGGAAACCGGAAGCACTTCGCAACATGTTTCCAAGGTCTGACAACGAGGGGCTGCATAAAGGAAGCCCCGGCCTAGAGAATGGTTGCATCCCAAGCACTCTCCCCAACCTGTTTGGTCAAGGCTTCCCAAGGGGCTGTGTAAGATGTTGCTGGGTTTGGTGGTCCCAGAAGGGATGCAGGCAACGCATCCTGTGACTACGTACCTATGCAAGTACACAAACAGCAATATGTGTATGCAAATATGCATACCTGTAAGTATGTTTGTCTATCTGTAGTATGTAAGAACGCGTAACTTCTTGCATGCAGCGATGCAATGCACTTTATTGTAGCAAGTTGTAATGTAATGTATTAAAATCAATGTAATGTAACGCACGTGCACAAGTACGTGTATCTGTGCGCCGCTTGTATATGTATATGCATGTGCTTGCGTTTATGTACAGGTGTATATCAGTATGGGATGTACGTTCTTACGTGTGGGAGTCTGTCTGTCTGTCTGTCTGTCTGTCTGTCTGTCTGTCTGTCTGTCTGTCTGTCTGTCTGTCTGTCTGTCTGTCTGTCTGTCTGTCTGTCTGTCTGTCTGTCTGTCTGTCTGTCTGTCTGTCTGTCTGTCTGTCTGTCTGTCTGTCTGTCTGTCTGTCTGTCTGTCTGTCTGTCTGTCTGCATGCATGCATGCATGCATGCACACGCGCATGCTTGTATAAAGCTTCAGCAAATTGTGCCGTTGCATTTGTTTCGCTCACAAATGCAAACATCCACGCATAGACAGACACGCAAAAACAAAAACACACACACACACACACACACACGTGCACACCGGACGAGGCTCATGAGGATCTTGGCGTGCTCAAAGCTGCCCTTCCCCTCCAGGCTCTCCTCCAGCTGACCCCGAACAACACACACACACACACACACACACGCCTTTTGCAGGGTCAGATGTGTTTCGACATAAAGGGGGGAAGAGGCTTACAATTGTGCCGGTCTGCAACCCTGAAAATTGTCAAGCCCGTTGCTGCTTTTGGTATGCAGTTGGACACAACTGGGGATGAGTCAAAATTAAACCACCAGGAATTGGACCGCAGGTGTTAGTCCATGTTTCCATTTGCCAGGATTCCATTTGGGGTACCTATTTTTTACACACACCCAACTACCTCTGCTGGGTGTCTCCTGCGCCGCCAGAAAGGCTTCCAGCGCCTCCTCGTGAGCGCCCGCTGCCACGCGCTGCGCTCCACGCTGGAAATGGCTCTGCCAGGTCGCCTGCTCGCTGCGCGCCACGCAGAAGGGGACTGGGCCAAAAAGGACATTTGTGTGATCATAATTAAGGCTGTCTCGCTTCCTAAGTGGGTTGCCGACCTTTCTACTAACATGGTCTTCCTCAAAAGCTTGAAGTCCAGGAACTCAGTGAGTGAGTTGTGCCAAAATAATACGTAGTGTTGGTCTCCTTTTGGTTTCCCTTGAAACCAACCGCAAAAGGATTCCCCCCCAAAACACACACACACTCACACAATTTGGGCTTGCTGTGGCCAGCATGCGGTCCTGCAATGTGGGAGCACTGGGAGACACATGGAGGCACGAACCGGGAAACAAATGCGTACGCTCCCCCCAATCAGTGGGGGCCAAGGTGGTTTTTGAGATTGACCTGGTTCGTGGAAGGCTTGTCTTTTGACATGGCTTTGGTGTGCGCTCCTCCGCTGTCTCCACCTCCGCCGGCGCTGAAAACCGCCGGAGGCCCCGGCGCCGCAAGCCCCGCCCCGCCACCGCGGCCGCCGACGCCGCCGCCCACGGCGCCGAAGGTGGCGCTGCAGGCGGCGTTGGCTTCGTCGGCGCCGGCTGCGAGGCCGAGCCCCGGTTGTGGCCAAATGGCAGCCGCGCGCTGCTGGAAGGCACAAAGGTCGCCATGGGCGAACGATGAGACGCGACCAGTTCTGACTGTTCACTGGTCTCATTCTCACAACGCGCTGTTGGTGAGGCGCGAGTCTCGAAAGACAGTCCCCAAGCGGATTGCGCATGCCCTAGGCTACAGCTGTAGGTACATGGAGTGTTCATCATTCAATGATGCTGAATTCTAAGCTGCGGCAGGGCTGATGGCAAGCAAGAAAGCATGTCCTTCCGACAGTACTTGCAAGCTTCAAATGAAATGCCCCAAAACACGCTGGTCTGTGCAAAATGAAGGGCTGGCCAATCCAAACGCATAATCCCACGAGGGAATCTATACTCTACAGGCAACCTTCTTTGTACCCCTGCAGCAAAGATTGACTTTAAGCAAGTATGGGATGTCGCGGCTGCACTTGTTGCCCCGCGAATGGCACTGAAGACTCAGCTGCAGCGCGTCAGCTGTACTGGCATCTACGCTCCTTTGGCAGCTGGAAAAATCGAGGAAATGCTACAGTGGGCATCACATGACACATCCGAGTGACTTCTCATGCTGAAACCTGCACTCTTCAATGGCTGTTCTACCGCCCAAGCCGTGAGTCGAGTTGGAATTCATCCGACTAGATGGATCTTGGAAATCTGAGCAGCGCCCGGCACCCATCGACTCTTGATTTTACAAAACCATACAATTGACGGACTTCGATGGAACTTCGCTTATCTCCAGATTCAACTGGACAACACAAGCCCTTACTTACCAAGCTCTTTTGTGCGTGTGGTTTTAAGATGAGGGACCCTTTTTGGAGTGGTGCTCAAGAAATCCACACAATGTTTGGAGTTCCCTTGTCTGCAAACAAGCCCAGATCGGTTTGAGCGCTGCTCATCTTGACCTGCCGTGAGACAAATCGGCCGCGAGCGGTTTGCCGCCTGGCTGGTGAAACTCAATGGAAGATCGCAGCGCCTGACAGGGAACGAGGGCCTCAGCCTTAAGTTCCACTGCACGAAATGCGTGCTTCTAAAAAGGAGAGACCCAACCAAAACCCTTTGCCAGGAGTGCGTGCACGGACCGAAAAACGCTCTTTGGGGCTTCTTCTCAGCCTTCCTCGACACACCATCAAGGGGGTGCGTTTAGGACACCCCATCCTCGCAGTGCAATTGCATCCCTTGAGGTTGTCCTGATCCCCATGAAGCTGATGCTCTGCCAGAGACACAAGTGCGGCTTTTTAACAAAGGACACCCTGTTCGAAGGGTTACCCTTCCAACAATGAAACTAAACAAGAAAGTTCAACACTTCCCAGAACTGGACACACAAGCTCTCCAGAAACGTTTTCTCCCAAGCTCTCAGCTTTGCTTCGGCTCGGCCTATCGGTCAGAGAAGGCCTTGTCGATATCCGCCCTGACCTCGGAGTGGCGAACTTCGAACCTATTCACCGTCCTCTTCTTTTGGTAGGCCTCGCCGGCCAGTCCTCCGGGCAAAAAACAGGGATCGACATGTAAACCCCTCTTCGCTGGGCAGAAGTGCTTTGAGAGTCAGGAACAAAAAGCGAAGGGTAATATTGCTTCGCTACTTGCTCCCCAAAAAGGGCAAACATGGAAACCAAAGGATCCCTGTCTCCTAAGGAATGTTGCCATCTGATGCCAGTGCGATGATGAAAGCGACCTAAACTCGACTCCATGCAAGGAGTGCTTAAGATGGCTCCACCCGCCCCCCGACATCAGCATTGCGACCTTGACTTCAAGACATGTTTGGGATGCTCCATCTGCACCTACATCCCTGAGTCAGTACCAAAGCGTATGAAAACAGGCAAGCAAGCTAACCATCAAACAGTCAAAAGGTGGAATCCATCTGCATCTAGCGTCCAACCTGTGTTTGGGATTGACAGCTTCCCACATCGTGAGGCCAATACTCTGGAGATGCCTTGCAGCAGCAGGCGAGCAGCCTGAGGGTGAGCGGCTGAAAGTTGGTGGATCTGCAAATGAGGGCTGAGATGGTTTCTACCCCCAAACTCCGACCCCGCTTTTCCCTTTGGGAGCAAACGTCTTGGGTGCGTTGGATCGTTTTACCCTTGAAGTGGAGTCACTGTTCAACAAACGGATCTAGCAACACGGTGTCTGTGAGTGTACAAAATGAAAAGGGCGAACTGCCACACCTTTGTTCGGGACTGTGACTTACTAATCCTCAGCTACCCGGGTTTTGAGTGCGCCTCAAGTCAGGCCCTCCCTAAAGCCCTCCTCCCGTCGTCGTCCAGTCCAGGCAGGGCGGATTGGATCCTATCTGCAATTGTTTCCATCTTTCCAAAACCTGAAATAAGCATCGGATCCCCAGGTAAAGGGCCTACATCATAGAGAGCTCATTTTCCTATGAAACGGCTGAAAGGCTAAATGTACCCATTGAATCCCCTGGCTAAAAAAACACCTCTAGTTTATGGCTTAATGGAAGACCATCCACCAAACTGGCCCGGGCCATGAGTTCATCTGGCTATTATTTTCTAAAGAGTTGGAGCCGCCGCCAAATTTTCATGTTCCACCATTCCGCGTCAATGAAAATTCGTGCCCAATTGTGTTTTGTCGGGGTCTCCACAATCAAATGGCGGGTGTCCTTTTGGTTTCCCTTTGAACGAACCTGAAAACGGGTCAAGCACATGGGTGGCCCTTTGGAAAAGAGATGTTTTTACCTGGTAAATGTGGTAAACCCCACCCAAACCAGTGGCTTGCCATCTATTCTTAACCAAACTAATCGAAAAAGGACACCTACTGCGGATGGTTGCGAACTCCATTTCGCACCACAGAAGAAATTTAGGGATCTGGTGATTCCCCAACGCAAATACGCACAAACGTTACGGTTTCAACCATGGTTTCATTTCGTGCTTTCAAACAAACCGATGAAGGAAACCTGTAAGAAACCCAGGTGATCTTCCAACGTAAATACCAACAAGTTGGTTTCATTTGGTGCGAAGTGGATTTCATTCGCCACCAAAGCCGCACAGCCGCCAGGCGCGGAAGGCGCTGAGTGGCCGGCCAGGCGCCCGCTGGCGCCGAAGGCTTGTCCGCGGTAGTCCCAGAGCTTTGACAGCACCTCCACCCCGAAGGCCCCAAGATCCGTAGGGGGAACAATGAACAACAAGCAAAAAGACGCGGAAAAAAAGAAGAAGACAAACTATGAAACATAATACAAACAACACAAAACAGAACACAGAGAAACAATGCAATAATACACAAAATGTGAACAGATTCGACAGAACATGGAGAAACACACGGAAAACATAACACATTGAGAAGAATGGACAAACATAGGGACAACTGTGGATGTGACTTCCAAACGCCACGTAAGCGTGTTGGCTTCAGTGTGTTGCTATAGTATCAAATGCCGTTTTGGGGTTGGGGTTTTAGGGGACCATATCCTATTGGGAGGAGTCCTGGACGAAACACAGCCGTGTTGGTGCTTGTTTGATTTGTTCTTCTAAGGTTGCTTCATAAAACCACATAAGCCAATACCTTGGGATGCTGCAAGAAAATGCGTGTCTCAAGGTAAAAGCTACAAACCATCCACGAGAATCCCAGGTAAAAGCGTCGGGTGTGACCGCGCGTAGCGCAAGAACCCAGAGGCCCTTGATGGCCCCTGGCCTTCGGGCGCCCTTCACAAGTGAAGGAACTAGCGGTGAGATTCGGCAAAGGTACGTGATACCGCTAGTCCTTCGGGACCCTTTGCTCAGAAATTTACATGAGGATTTATGTCTACCATTCCGAGGTGTACAACTAAAACTTATTGCTACATTTGTGATGAGTATGTCATAGTATGTCTATGCAGCAATCCGCGCAATCTGCACATAATTCCAGGTGGCTGTAAGTGCTTGTAAATGTCTACCAGCGAAGCCCGTTGAAACGAAGTGGAGTCCGATGTAATGCTGTCTCAAAAATGAATGGACCCAACTGGAGCATCAACCACCAACCTTTAGATGATCACATAGCTGCTTCAGAACGGATCCTTCATTTTGGGGCAAACACCCCGCAAAAGGCGCCAGGCTAACTTGTCCGAGGTCAACCTGTTAAATGCAGAATGACACCCATTGCAAAGGCACCCCATCCCGATAGAACACTCCCTCGCGGCCTCTGCTGCGATGGATCTCTGCTCCGTGAACGGCCTAATACAGCAGCTAGGCGGCCGAATTCTGCGACGGACAAATGCAAAATCATAGAGCCCAAAGCAATAGTCTCTTCTAAAATCTACGCCAACCCCCTGTAAAAACTGTAGGAACTGCCCTGTATGTAAACCGAATAGCTAATCAAGGAACTACCCGGTAAACCAGAAGGAAAATGGTGTGCTGCCTACTCTACTAGCAATTGGGATCCAATGGGGAGCTTACCCCACAAGAGCTGTTGGGGCAACTGTGAGTCGAGGAGTTTTGGGGGTTGTGTGGACGCCGGCTCCTTAGGTGTGCCGAATTGGCGACATGGCAGTGACCTTCTGTCATCTTCAAGTGGTATGCCCAGACACGGAAGAAATTGCAGCCCTTGTTGGGAAGCGGGAAGTTTCTAACCCGGCTCCTTCCGGGTGCAAATGCAAAGCGATTGGCTTGCAACTGAGCCTTCACCAGGGGCCCGGTGGCTAATTACTCTAATGGGGCCCCGGCAAGTCACGGAACCGCTGGATGATCTCCTGGACCTCGCATGGGAAACGGCGTCCTAAAGGAGACGGCCCCAAAGTGGCATTACTCAGGGAAACCGAAGTGGGTTCCCGCAAAACAAAAACACATTCCCCCAACAAACTGGAGACGTTCAAACCAGTGCACGCCCGAAGAGGCGGTGGATGATCATGGAACAACCATATGTTGGAAGGATGAATTGTCAGTGTTTCGCCGGGGAAAAGCAAACTTCATAGATTCACCTGTACCGATTCCTCAGTGATCCGAGTTCATGTAAATCTGCTAAATCATGATACATCGCTGAGGAAGAGTTGGTTTTGGACGAGGCAAGAAAGGACAAGGCATAGCAAGAGCACGCTCTTCTCAAGGTCTTTCTAAAGAAGGGGAAACAGAAACCAAGCCAATCCAATAACTTTAGCAGCGCTCAATACAGCTTGGCAAAGATTTCCGTACTCGACCATATATCGAGTTGCATAGGCACAAACATACCCGATCATAGCACGTGCCAAGCGTGAAACCGTCCCTGGAGCCCCTGTGATGCCCAATTAAGAAAAATGCTAGTGCTGTTGGTAGTGAAAACTGTGGGTGTTTCGACCCATCTCCTGTTTCCAAAGCCAGCAATGTACCATCCAGGGCGCTTGCTATGTGCGATTTTTACCTTCGACCCATCTCCTGTTCCCAAAACCAACGGTGTGACGCTTGCTCATGGGTGAATTTTGACTCCGGGACCTTTTGGTGCACATTTATGCCCACCAAATAGTTGTGAGGATTGAACCGAGCATCATCACACGATATGTGCCATCTTAATCAACAATGGTGTGAGCAATATTGGCATAATCCACAAAACCAGGTGGCCATGAGTCAAAAGCCCGTACCCCCAGTGAACATCCCAATCCCCACTAAAAAATGGGTAGTGAATTCACCTACCCCAAAATGGGATCCCATTGGTTTTGACCCACAAAACCGGGTGACAGCCAAACGAGCCGCTGACAAGTTCGTTGCCCAAGCGAAGGGCCTGGCCTGCGGCTCCGCCATGGACACGATCTCCTGCGCCTCAAACGTGAAAAATGGTCGGGAAGGCCGGGCGTTTTTATGCATCGGAAGATTTCTCTGGGTTTTATGTTTATGGCCATCTTTTCGGGGTTCCATGCGAATTTGATAGGGGAGAAAGACTTTTACAAGTGTGCTCAAGCACCGGAAGCTACGCAAATGGCCAACAATCAACCGCAGCCAGCTGATATTGCGGAAGGGACATCGTGACATTCTGTTCTCGCTCCAGAATGGCACTGGATTTCATGTATCCAAGGAGCCACCGATGATGGAAAGGGTGGGAGAGTGATGAAGAAGCATCACCACGACACGAAATCGTCGTCAAAAGGGAGCTTCGTGCAAGTGATGGACAACCATCCAACAAATGCAAGGAGAAAGCTCCTCCCCTGCAAACCAGTTTCAAAAGTCGTCAAATTGTCAAAAGTGGGGAGATTGGTTGTGTGGCGCGTTTCGGTGAAAAGAATTCAGACCATGGCCCAAGTGCTCACCACACTTGGAAAGCGTTGGGTTCCTTTCGGTTTCTTTTTCAAAAATGCACCAAAAGTGGGGCCCGCGAGGATTCTGCATTTTCAGCACCGAATCACTGGAAGCTCCATCTACACAGATCAAGTGCACCAAGGTTCAGTCCAACAAGCAAACCAGCAAGACACGGGATTGTCACCCAAATGCATGGTTGATAGAGTTTTCTACTGGTCTAAAGTCCCTATTGATGACTATCCCCAACCCTGTGCTCACCCTCCCAGACCTCAGCCATGGGAAAAGAGAGCACCTCTGAAACCAACCTTTCCTGATTTGACAATCAACCCAGTCAAAAAAAACGGAAAAAACAAGCACCACACGAGGTCTGGGGCCTTGATCTTGTTCTACCCGGGCCCGGCGCGTTGGCAAGCACCTGCTCGTCGCTTGTGTCGGGCGTCATCAGGCCTGAGAAAAGGGGCGATCTGCACTCAAGCACACACGCACATGTAAAGACGTGTGTATGTGTATGTAACCTCTTTTATGTATGTATGTATGTGTGTATGCATGCATGCATGCATGGATGGATGATGATGGGATGGATGGATGGATGGATGGATGGATGGATGATGATGGATGGATGTATGTATGTATGTATGTATGTATGTATGTATGTATGTATGTATGTATGTATGTATGTATGTATGTATGTATGTATGTATGTATGTATGTATGTATGTATGTATGTATGTATGTATGTATGTATGTATGTATGTATGTATGTATGTATGTATGTATGTATGTATGTATGTATGTATGTATGTATGTATGTATGTATGTATGTATGTATGTATGTATGTATGTATGTATGTATGTATGTATGTATGTATGTATGTATGTATGTATGTATGTATGTATGTATGTATGTATGTATGTATGTATGTATGTATGTATGTATGTATGTATGTATGTATGTATGTATGTATGTATGTATGTATGTATGTATGTATGTATGTATGTATGTATGTATGTATGTATGTATGTATGTATGTATGTATGTATGTATGTATGTATGTATGTATGTATGTATGTATGTATGTATGTATGTATGTATGTATGTATGTATGTATGTATGTATGTATGTATGTATGTATGTATGTATGTATGTATGTATGTATGTATGTATGTATGTATGTATGTATGTATGTATGTATGTATGTATGTATGTATGTATGTATGTATGTATGTATGTATGTATGTATGTATGTATGTATGTATGTATGTATGTATGTATGTATGTATGTATGTATGTATGTATGTATGTATGTATGTATGTATGTATGTATGTATGTATGTATGTATGTATGTATGTATGTATGTATGTATGTATGTATGTATGTATGTATGTATGTATGTATGTATGTATGTAATGTATGTATGTATGTATGTATGTATGTATGTATGTATGTATGTATGTATGTATGTATGTATGTATGTATGTATGTATGTATGTATGTATGTATGTGCATATATAAACACATGAATGTACATGAGAGGATGTGTATATATATATATATATACATATATATATATATATGTATACAACTACACGTATGCAACCCTCTCGGCCACCAGTGGTTTGGTGTGCTTTAGAAATTCCTGGTGACTGACGAGGCCCATGGAGAAGTGCCATTTGGCAACCAGAGATGCAGTGAGTTACTCGTGCAAAGAGTCGGAATTCGAATGTACCTCCTACGAATGTGGACAAAAACTATTGTGATCAAGAAGCAATGAACGAATTGCTGCACAATAAGGGATAGCCTTTGAAAAGAAGTGAGCAATTGAGATGGTCCATGCATACAAAGTGAGATTACTTGATCAGATCGATCGTGCACTCCTGCAACCTTCACATCCTATGCAAGGAAAGCTGAATAAAAGCTGCTCGGCAAGCCTGCCCAGAGCACCAAACAGTTTCATGCTGTTCCAGTTGCAACAAGGGCCAAAACCATTTCAAGAAAATGCAAGAGCGGAAATTTAGAGAGCCAAACAGTGATGTTTCAAATCGAATGATCCAAAAGGGGAAATCTAGGAACCCAAGCGAAGAAGGACGACCATCAAGAACGGAATTCTAAACATGGGAGGTCTGTTTTGGGGGGACCCACTAAAATGGACTTCTGTGTTCCTTTTGGTTTGCCTTTAAACCAACCCAAAAAAGGGTTAGCCTTCGCCGCAAAAAGCGGACGAGCCACCCACCCACATGGAGCTGGCACTCACGCGGCACGCTCCGTGGCGCCGACCAAGGCTACCACTCCCCGGCAACTTCCAGGATGAGGCGAAGCGCCGGGCATTCGCGCCCACCACCTGCCGCCGAGTGCCAGGTGAGGAATGTGACCGGGACCCCCATCATGGTTCACCGGGTTTCCTTGTGGATTCCCGATGTAAAGGTATCAAAAAATGACAGAGCCTTTTGGTTGCCATATTTGTTTTGATTTCTGAAACCGAATTGGTTTCCTTTGTTTCTATGTTGGGCTTGAAGGAAGCAACAAAGCAACATGTCAGAAACCAGAAGGATATTCAAGCTGAAAACAAAGAAGGAAAGAAGAAGGAACCCAGAATCTACGCAACAGGAAAACAACATTGGGAACCAAAACGGAACAAAAGGAAACAAGGAAATAGGCCAAAACGAAACAGAAGTGGACGACAAAAGCAATCCAACAAGGAAAACACAGAAACTGACCATTTGGCGCAGTCCAACTACTTTCGGCACACTCCCAATTCAATGAGCTGTCGATCCAGGTTGGGGGGGCTTTAAAGCTGCTGGTTTGGGTGTCAAGGCGATGCCAAGAAACTCTGGTGCTTGACCATGGCACACATGAGCACAAAGGGGCAGGCATGAAGAACCCTCTCCCAACCTTAGCAATCTCGTCCAGCAGGAGATCCTTCGAGCGGATCAGGTTGGTATTTCCCCCGTGAAACATCACCCCACCCAAAAGAGCAACTCACTGAACATGGCTTCCAATGGTGGTGATTGAAGCCCCCAAAATGAGAAACATAGGGCCACCTGTGCATGGCAAGACTTGACCCGGTCCTGCCATGCTTTCCTCAAACCGAAGGATTTCCCTATATTTCCGGCAGAGACATCACCCGGGGTTGGAGGAAACTCGAGGAAAGTCGACTCAAACAAAAGCTGATGTCTAAAAGGAGCAAAAGGGAAATGAGACTACTAGCGTGACCCGTCCAAAGAGCAATAGCTTCCCGTGAAAAGTTCAGCTCACATTTCAAGTTCGGGTTGTCGCTTTGCAATGTGCCGTGCTTGAAACAAATGTCCCTGAAAATGGGTCACCATTTTGTCAGCCTGCCAATCCGATGTCCAGCATCACGTTAAACCAGCAAGGAAGCAAGTCGCATATGACATTGGCCAATGCTCTTTAGATGGGCGATGGTCATAGTTCAGTTAAACGAGGTTGACGACCATCGCTGCCAACCTAACGCCAGTGGGCACATATATACTTTATTGTTGCAACAATTCAAAAACATGACAAAAGGGATGCCCGACCTTCAGCGATAGCTCATTTTGCCCCGATCTCCCCATAAATACACAAACATATACCGTTGTCTCACCTTCAGCGTGAGCTCATTTTGCCCCCGGGCTCCCCATAAATACACACAACATATAGCGTTGTCTCATAGGGGCGCCCTGAAATGCTCTCAACTCTGGTTTCACTTTGGCTAAATGGCTGTGGGTCAAAAATAGGTACCGAAATGGAGCCCTGGAAATTGGAACCAAAGACTAAAACCTGCGGTCCCCTGGTGGCTTAATTTTGACCCACACCCAAACGCTTCCCCCATATGCCATTGGCTTGGGTGCATGGGCTGATGCGCCTGAAGCGCAGGAGCCACTCGGCGACCCTTCGAGGCCTCGCCGGGATCAGAGAGATACCGACGGGGTGGGTCCGTGGGGTTGGGGCTTCAGCGTGGGCTGCTTCAGGCTGGGGTTCACAAACCTGCCTGCTCGCGAGTTAACCCGACCAAACCATGACACCTGGGAAGCCTAGGCAAGATGGCGAAGTGGCAGCGTTTCGCTTATAGGCGCCTTAATGGGTGTGGGCCTAGGGTTTGTGTTGGGATGATCATAAACACCGTCAGGGGTGTATGTTTTATGAGGGTGACAGGGAGCCATCTGTCTCAAGCCAATAAGCGATAGGCGACGTAAGGGCCCGCAACCGAAGCGTATCTTAGATGTTTGTCTGAACGGGGTGCCAGGCTTCTTTGTGCATGTGGCTGAGCAAAGCCATCGGCAAGCCAAGTGACAAATCCTCGACAAAGCAGGGTTAGTTCCTTCTGTGTCGTCTTTGAACATTAACCCTTTTAAAGTACAACACTGGCCCAACAATAAGTGAGGGTTACACCACCCCAACATAGGATGAGCAGTCTCTATGTAGGCGGGAGGGTATGGAGCAACTGCAACGTTCAATACTCATTGTGCCCCCACCCGACATTGGATGTTGATGAGCAGCCCCCAGTTTAAAACCGTAAAGTGCGTCATTCCCTTTTCTGCAGTAAATGATGTCGAATATGGGTATGGGTCAAAATTAAACAACCAAGAAACCGCTGGTTTTAGCCCTTGGTTCCATTTGTCCGGGAATCCCATTTTGGGGTTACCACAGTTTTGACCCACACCCATAAGGACCGTTCAAGTAGCCACATCCCATTCGCCTCTCCATTGGTCTCCGATCCGTTCGGCACCCGCCCCAGCACCAGACTGGCCAGCCTCGGCTCACAGGGCCGCACGTCTTGGCCGTGGTGCGACTTCCAAGAAATGGATGTCGTTTCTTGTGACCCAAAATGGCTGGTTTCCTTGTGGCTTGCCCTTTAAACACCAACCAAAAAGGGGTTCTCCACCCAAATGTCGCCCAAGTTTGAGCGGTCCTAGGGGCTCACCCTCTGTGCAAAGGGCGGCTGGTTCAGGCTCACGGCAACCCAAACAAAAAAATGAATGGAGGAATCGCAGATGCGACGCTTCAAACGACCTGCACAGCTCACGAAGTCTCCTTGGGCGCTGGCTGATCTGCCAGCTTGCTGGCTTCCTGATGCCCGGGATTCTCCAAAACGCAGGCGACAGCAACCAGCGACTGTGTGGCTTACCCCAAAGGGCTGGGGCCCCGCTTGCCCGCAGCTTCATCTGAATTTCACCTGGTGGGTGGTTTGTAAACTTGCGCTTGTCAGCTGCTTGGAAGTCCTAGCCAAAGGGAGTTGGACCATGTCGGACCCAAGAAAACTATTAGGCGGATTCTAAGTACAGTTGGCAACTAGTTGCTATGTCTGAGCATCCAAGCTACGAGACATCCGTTTCCAGGCAAAACAACTGCACAAAGACACATGAAATCTCAGCTGTGTCTCTGTTGGAAAGGGCGGCCATGGGGATCCCATCCCAGGCGCTCCATTCTGTTCAGGTCTTCTTCTTTTCACAAATCATCGGTTTCCCTCTTGGGCTTGGGGTGGCTTGCTGCATCGAAAGAATGCTAGCCCTTTTTGTTGCGATTCTCCTTTGAGGGCAGACTGATGTTGCAAAAGCTAAGCCGTATTTTTGGGGGTAGGCCTTTTGAACATCCCCTAAAAAGTGACCGTCAACAAATATATCCCATCATATGGCCCAAAATCGGGGGTATTCCTTTCGTTCTGCCGTGACAACCCCAACAAGCGCACCCCTCTCCAGCCAGGGGGGTGATTCGGGCACCCTTTCGTTGGCTGAAGTTCAAGGGCACATTTTCCAAATGGTTTAAACACCCGCTGAAACCTCCTTTTTCCCAGGGCTGAGGGGGCTGTTGAACCCAAACTGAGCCGAAATGGCTCAAAACGGAACCACTTCCGACCAAAGGGAAACACCCCGGTCTCAGGGTAGACATGGGTCCCCCAGGTCCTTGGCCGCAGAGGTGTTGTCGTTGCGCGTGGCCGCCTCAGAATTGAGAATCCCACTTGGACAGAAATGAGGAAGTGACGGCTACACAGGGGTGCGTGTGAATATGTATACAAAAAATGTATACATGTATATATATATATATCTATATGTAACACATGATATATCTATACATATATATATATATATATTTATTTATATTATGCACACACCGTTTACAAACTTATTCAGCCAAAGAACGGGTGGCATAGAAATATAGAGCCCGGGCGTCGTACACGGTGGCCGCCCGGCAAATTAACAGAAGCAGCCCCAAAGTAGGCTCCTGGATTCTATATACATGGGCAGTCACAAAAATGAAAAGGTGGTCACAACATGATGCATTTCTGGAACCGTGACATTGTTTTAGTGCTGCCAATACGGAGGTCCAACAAAGGTTTCACTAACAGTAGGGATGAGTCTTCAAAAGAACTCGGGCAGTGACCACCTGGGGAAACAACCAAGCAACAACCAGGCAGCTCCGGCAGTTCAGCAACAGACGTGTTCTTCCCCTTCAGTCACGCCAGCGCACAACAAGCAGCCTCTGAGCATCCGGCCATATAGGAGGAGAAACCAGTGGCCAAGTACTTGAGACCTGGCCAGCGGTGAGGCTCACTGCCCGGGCAGCGCCTGACCTCTTGAGCCCATCCCTGATTAGCTTCTGCTTGTGCTACAAGTGAGCAGGGGGCCAAACATATTTTCGTTTGGATCATGCCTAACTGGCATTTTGCCAAATCCGGTGAAATTGGGCTCAGGTTGCCAAATAGCAGACCTTGTCAGGCAATATTGGTCAGTGTTCTATGGGTTTACACGGTCCTAGCAAACCTCACTCACGATCAGTCCCAGTAAACTAGGTAGAACTCAGCCGCGCCTAGAACAATTAAAGGCAGAGACTGGGCAACCTGGACAACCTATGGATGATGTCCAAACTACTGCAAGAAAACCAACCACAAACTATGGCATATAGGCTTCCCTTGTTACCTTTCAAAAATATTCACGCCAAGAGGGCATATGTTTGGGCCCGAGGATTGATAACGCCGCTCAGCAGCTGAGCTCCCAGCGCTCTGGGCTTGGCTGCCGGTCCAGACCTGCTCTCAACTTGCGTCATTGAAATTCATAGACAGCTGGGTGTGGTTTTTGTCTGCGCGGTGTTGGGAAAACCCCCAAAAATGGTTGAACCAAAGAGGTAGGGGTGGCTTTAGAGCCGAAAGACACATCTTGGGGTCCCTCATCTCAGGTAGAGATACCCACACGCCCGTGCGTGTATTTGTTCAACCGCTTTTCGCTTGCTTGGGTTCCGGATCCAAAAGCAGGTTGGAGATTAGCAGAGTCCCACGCATCCCAAAGCACGACAAGCTTCAGCTTCCAAACAAAACTACCCAAGACAATGGTCAAAGTTGACTTCGCCGAGCGATCTTGAGCTCAAGCAACACTAAGAATCAGTTGGGGCAACCCCGGGCGTTCAATCAGGCTTCAGGCGACCTTTCTGGCTTCCGTAGATGAAGGAGGCCAAGGCCTCCAGCGGAACGATCTCGTGGGATGGCGTTGGTCAACGAACACCAAGCGCTTCGCGGGATTTTGTCTTGGCCCAGTGGGCGTTGACCCCTTGCAAAACAAGAGAGGCGGTTTGGTCCCACATGATGGCAATGTGTTGTACTAGAGAGTAAATGTCTGGCTGGTGAGAGCGAGAGAATAGTTACTTTCGCAAAAAGCAAAAGGTTCAAGGTCCAGCAAAGAGCAGGCAAGCAAACGGCAACCAAACAGTCTGCAGGGAACCCACTGGGGCGAACCCAAGGAACAACTGGCAAGTGTTTGAATCCCATCGCCAACAAAAAGACAAGCCTGCGAAAAAAATCCACCATAGTGCACCAAGACCCCTCGGCCAGTACTGGGCGGGCTCTTCTCCGCTTAACTTCGGAGGTCGAAAGAGACCCGGTGTGTTCGGAGAGATATGGCCGTCGGCGACAAAGATACACAGGGGCCGCAAAAGAAAGAAGGCTGTCTACACCGACATTGAACATAGCCTCCTTTGCGCGCGGGCACGCAAAGCGCAAAAAATAATCAGCGCCAATCCGTACAAGTCCCGCTGTGTCGAAACATTCCCAAAAGCGCGCTTTGGTACGCACAGTTCTTTGTCATATCCGCAGTTGGGGATCTGATTTGGGGCGGTCAATTGTCCCCTTCCGCGGGTGTAGGCTGAAGACCAACTGTCCCGGTCTCAGCCAGCGGCATTGCTGATGCGCGGATCCTCGTCTGAGATCAGCCGCTGTGCGACATATGGCCTAAGCAGCGGATGTGACCGGGGCCGTAGATCAGCCCCACAAAATGGCTGCAGCCCGCAGGCAAACAGCAAGTAGGGCATTGGGTAACATCATGCAAATTCACGAGTTGCTGTTGGCTCGCGTGGATGTTGGAAGGCTTCCTCCTTTTGGGAATCCCTCGTTTGGAGGTGTGTACAGGGAGGCGCTTGGGATCCTGGCCTGCTGTGCTTTGGACACTCCTCGCAATCTGCAAGCAAATGCGCAGAGTGAACCTCCTTCACGTTCGGGGTGATCCCAAAGGTTCTAAGGAGGTCTGGGAATGCAAAGGGAGTGGGGAGGCGCTTGGGATCCTGGCCTGCTGTGCTTTGGACACTCCTCGCAATCCGCAAGCAAATGCGCAGAGTGAACCTCCTTCACGTTCGGGGTGATCCCAAAGGTTCTAAGGAGGTCTGGGAATGCAAAGGGAGTGTAACTAGAAAATGGAAATGGACCCCTTTGCTGATTTTGAAGGAAACCACAAGGAGATCAGCCCAGCCGGCGTCCCGCCTGCTGAGCTACTGCCAAGCTGCCTCTGCCTTGAATGTTCTCATGTGACGCCTGTCTCGACTTCGGCGTTTGGGACAGTCAAGACCATGGCCTGTTTCCCCAAAGTGTCGGTCCCGTCTATGCCAAGGGGTCACCCAAATCGAGAAACGCCTTGCTCACTGGGTCAAAACCCCCTACAAATAGAAGTTCAACTATTTCTTTTCCTTTAGTGTAGCTGTGAGTCAAGCCCCAGATTCCTTTTAATTAAAATGGACCAAACATAAGGGGGGTTACCCGAAAAAGGTATCTGGGTTTTGATCCACACCCACATGGTTTTTGACCAAACAGCTTGTTCATTTGAGTGCCCTGCAAACACTCGCCAACCACCGAGTAGCCCTCGTCGTTGCCTCGGTGACGGTGTTGGTTTCAGCAAGTCTGGGTGGCTTCTGGAAGGAAGCACGGAGGAAGCCTATTAGGTGTTTCCGAAAATGATTCGGACCTGTCTTCTGGATGGTGCTTCAATAGGCCAAAGGAAACCAGCCCATCTTGGGCTCATGATTGGGGCTCAGGCAACAGGACTGAGACTGAACACAGTTGTGTGCGATCAGTCAGCCTTCGCCTTTGGATTGGGAAACAAAGGCACCCCCAGACTCCACCCAAAGGAAGGAAGGTCACTGAAAAACATGTCCCAGAGAACTGGTCCACAAGGTCCTTTCTGCAGGCCTCTGAGCTGAGTTTGCTCACCCCTGAAGGACAAGATTGTTGATCGGGTCATCTTCAGTGAACCAACTGCAAGCACTGGTAATACTGGAGAAATGGCTGGGGAAATGGCCTTGCCCGGTTAGATGAGAAACAGGAAGGGGACGGTTAGCTGGTTCAGAGCATTGAGAAAACCGCAAGTTGCAGCTGGAGGTCAGGTGAGTTCCCCCCCAACAGCCGGTAGGAAAAGCAGCTTCCACAAACCAAGTAAGAAGCTTCAAAGGCAGCTTATTGCAGGGATGGCATGTCCCCTACATCTATGAATAGGGCTTGGGGGTTTGGCTCATTTTCGTAGAACAAAAGCTGCTGCTGGCTCCGGCACCGACTAACAGAGGCCTAAACCTGTCGACTGCGTGCTTTCCAGTTGGTTGGTTTCACGTCGTTCTCCCTTGGACCAAAAAAGGCCCAACTTGTTTGGTCCCTCGAAGCTATGGCTTCTTGCTTGGAGTTTTTGGGGGGGTCATGCTGGGGACCAAAGAGGTTTGCCGTGATTTCCCCATAAAGACCTGTACATGTAAACAGGGTAGTTACTCCAAAAAGACACCAAATAGAACCCCTCCTGTACATAACCCTGAAGGGTATCCGTACTCTTAAAAAAGACACACACCCGACACACACGTATGGAATCCCATCCGGGGGATAGGTACAAGGGGGGTGGCTACACGCGGAACTTCGCAAACCTCCCGCGCTCCAGGGCTGCGGGCTGAGACCGATCCCCTCCAGCACCGCAAAGGCGCGGGCGATGTAGAAGAAGTAGGGCGGCCTCGAGCGCATCAGGTCCAAATGGGGGACAATTTGGTGGACATCATGTACATGGGTATGTCAATATATAAAACTAGATTGGTATCTCTATATATATATATACTTAGTAGTGCGTCAAAATGGGGCCACCCGGGAACCCCAAAATGGTGGCTTGTCTTTTGGCTTGCCTTCAGGCCGATCCAAAAAAGGTACCTTCAAAACTCAAAAAACTCATCCACATGGGGATTTGCTGTATGTCCACCAACCAGGTTTGAGGTTTTATGCATTTCGGCTCATTCATGGACAAATGGATATGTCGTTTTCTGGAGGGTACATGCCTGTGGTTCAAAACGGTAAGGAACGAACAACTTGTGTAGGAGCATTTGTCAGATTCACTCAAAGTTATATAACAATTGGGGGCCACCCAAATTCCACGTGAGCCATGAAACCAAGGTCCGAATAAGGCCCACACATTTTGCGCTATCCCATGGAGATTCGAAAGAGCGAAGGTGACCCTTGTTGCTCGAAGCCTGAAGCCAAACGATGAAATCTAAGTGCCCAAGGAAGCTTCCGAATCTGAAAGCTTGGATTTCTCTTCATCTCAAGCCGACTGACAATCCAAACTCGCTATTTAAAGAGGTTTGCCCAAAACCTTCAAAAGAAAGCCGAAAGACCAAACCTGCTTATGACTGGAACTGTTTTTTAAGCAAGCTTCACTATTGTTTGGACTCTTTAACCAAAACAAACTCCGAAAAAGACCAAGAAGAAACAAAGTAACACCCTGAAGCGCCCATGAGTTGGTGCGCCGCACTCCGAAGCGGTGAACGGCTGCTCTTGGCTTCGGGCACTCGGAAGAGGTTGCCGTACTTGCGGCTCAAATCTGCGCGATGCCGATGCCAGGACCGCATGGTCCATCCCAACTCCCTACATGCAAGTGCTCCGTGTCTAAAAAGGCATGATTTGAACAGTCATCTTGCACAGTGCGGTGGATTCCCCTTCAAAAGTTGTAATTGACCGGTGGTGTCCATTGAAACGATCGCCACTTTGGAGGTTCCAAATGGAAAAATGGAGGAAACCCACGTTAAACATGAGATCCCAGCATGGCTGCACCCTATACGAGTGAACATCAGCGAACCCCAGGTTAAGAGCTTTTGACACTGGCGGGTTCCAAGGGGTGGCCAGGCTTCTCTCAAAGAACCTGGAAATACCTGGTCACCTGAGGGGCTTGACCGATGATTCAGAACGGATCGAGATTTAATTTGGGTTTTTTTTGTTGTTTTATTTTTTTTTTTAGTTTTCCGTCCTGGCTACTAAAATGCTGTAATTTACAGCATTTTCTCGCGAAATGTACGTATTTTACGCTAGTCCGTCAACATCATCAGCATCGTTTTCAACATCCCCCGCATGTCCAGCCAACATCCCCAGCATCACCAGCAAATTGGCTTCCCGCATCTCATAATAAAAGTGAGGATTCAAATACGGGCAAACTAATCCCTGTAAAACACCTAAAACGTCGCGGCAGCCCCCCCCATGATGATTGAAAAAGTGACGACGGCAGCCCCCCCCATGATGATTGAAAAAGTCTAAAAAATTGCGGGGGGGTTGGGGGCGGCGGCAGCCCCCCCCATGATGATCGAAAAATTAAGGGCAAAGAATCTAAAAAGGATCGGTCGCATGATGATCGAAAAAGTGATGATTCAATTCGGGGCAAAAAGTCCAACAAATAGCGAGGGGGTTGGGAGGGGCGGCAGCCCCCCCCATGATGATTGAAGAAGTGATGATTCAAAAAGGGACAATAAATATTAAAAAAGCAGCCGGGGGTCATCAGTTCCTCTGCGGCAAGGCCTCATGGTACAAGTGAGGATTCAAACACGGGCAAACTAATCCCTGTAAAACACTTAAAACGGGGGGGGGGGGCAATTCCTCCATGATGATTGAAAAAGTGATGATTCAATCAGGGGCAAAAAGTCTAAAAAATTGCGGGGATCGAAAAATTAAGGGCAAAGAATCTAAAAAGGAGCGGTCGCATGATGATCGAAAAAGTGATGATTCAATTAGGGGCAAAAAGTCCAACAAATAGCGGGGGGGTTGGGGGGGGGCGGCAGCCCCCCCATGATGATTGAAGAAGTGATGATGCAAAACGGGCCAACAAATATTTAAAAAAAAAGCAGCCGGGGGTCATCAGTTCCTCTGCGGCAAGGCCTCATGGTACAAGTGAGGATTCGAATACGGGCAAACTAATCCCTGTAAAACACTTAAACGGGGGGGGGGTAATTTCTCCATGATGATTGAACAAGTGATGATTCAATTAAAGGCGCGGGGGGGGTTGGGGTGGGCGGCAGCCCCCCCCATGATGATCGAAAAAGTGATGATTCAATCAGGGGGTCCAAAAAATCGCGGGGGGGGGGGGCGGCAGCCCCCCCCATGATGATTGAAAAAGTGATGATTCAATTAGGGCCAAGAAAATATTTATTAAAACAAGCAGCAGGGGGGTCATCAGTTCCTCTGCGGCAAGGCCTCATGGTACAAGTGAGGATTCAAATACGGGCAAACTAATCCCTGTAAAACGGCAGCCACCCCCCCCATGATGATCGAAAAAATAGGGGCAAAGAATCTAAAAAGTAGCTGTCGCATGATGATCGAAAAAGTGATGATTCAATTAGGCGTGCATTTTAATCGAAAGGGGGGAGGAACTTGCGATGCTGATGATGCAGGAAGCCAAGGCCAACGCCAAAGCCAGAAAGCCGCCAAAAGCCAAAAAGCCAAAAAGCCAAAAAGCAAAAAAGCCACCTGCTGCAGCGGAACTGGCAATGCAGAGGATGCGAAAAGAGAGGAACTGTGAATGCAGATGATGCGAAATGAAAAGCCACAAAAGCCACAAAAACCCACGTAAAGCTTCTACTCTGCCGACTAGAGGCAAACACCAACGCCGGCTTGGCATCTCGAGACAAATCGATCTACAGCCTCCCGGATCCGGCGCCTTGGATTTGGTTGAAGAGGGCGTTGACGTCAACCTCGGGGCGACTCACGAAAGATGGGACAGAACCAAAGCGCCAGCCGCATGCAAATACGCGCCAATGTGACCACCAGAAACCGACAAAGGAAACTACTACCAGCTCAACTTGCCAGCTCAACTTGGCACACGGATGCCCAACTTTGCACCTTCTCAGTTGCGCGATGGGCATATCAATGGGAGCCCACGATCAATGCATCCCGGGTCGCTTCAAAGGGGTGCCCACTTTTCACCTCGGGAGGAAGAACAATCACCCCTAGAAACTGTACCCCTTTCAAAGGGATACGGAACCCTCGAAGCCGCCCCTTTTCCGGCGTGCCTTTGTAAGTTGAGGGGGCCCATGGATGCACAAATCGAGCACCACTTTGAAAACCAGGCTTGAAACCATGGTTCGTTGGTATTTACATGTATTTACAAGGGGATTCATATCATTCCAGGGTGTGGGATTCATATCATTCCGGGGTGTCTGAACGGTACGAAAAGGATTTCGCCACCACCGGGCCCCCGTTTTCTCCTCTCCGGGTGGGAGCCGCACCCTGGCCGCGCCACCGCCCGCGCTCCACTGGCCATAGACGTTCGCCAGGGTGCCCACCACCTCGAAGACCGGCGAGATCCGCTTCTCGAACCGAAGTGAGGCGAACCATGGGTTGAAACCCTTGGTTGAAACCATTTGCTGGAACCGAGAAATTATTATCCCTGGTTCAAACATGGGTTGAAACACATGGGTTGTCACTGAGTGCCTTCCTTCATGGGCATATAAGGCGTATGCTGTGGATGGACAAAATCCTGCATCACTCTGAAACCATGGGTTGAGACCATTTACAGGGAATGCCCAGAGAAACCATCCCCTGTGGTTCCCTTTAAGAGAATCCCCTTCCGGATTTGAAACCATAACGGTTTCTGGTATTTACAGGGGAATCATCATCATTCCAGGGTTTCTTCGGTGGTGCCGGATGCTATGAAAACCCCTCTGGGGGATTCTCGCACCTCGGCTGGTGGTTGAAACCTTTGGTTGGTAGCTCAGCAGGGAATGCCGAGAAAACATATCCCCAATGGTTGCCTTTAAGAGAATCCCCCGTTTCATTCCCTACTCCCGGAACGGTCATTCCCTACTCAGCACCAGCAAGAAATGGGGGTCCCATAAAAATGGATGGCTTCGTTTGTCGGCGTGGCTTGCTGCCCCGTGGTTTGGCAGGCTGGGAAACCATTTACGCGCAAGAAGGTGTTTAAATCCCCATACTTATCCAACACAACCAATTGAGGGTTACCTGACATGATGTGTGAGGGGGGGTGCTTATCATATGTCTTCGAAGCAGCTATGGAGAACCCTTGGTGATTTCTGGTAGCTGCCGCAAAAAGCTGGGAAACCCAAAAAACGGGAGTCAGTAGGAGTGCCCCCGAATGGACACAGCTGCACTCACTCTCGCTCTATCACCGGACGATCCATCCACTCTCAACGTGCCTGGCTTTGGATGATATCATCCTGAGCATGGGGAAAACGCCGGTTTCAATGCCCATGCTGCGCTAATCCACGCCTCAAGCACAGAAACAACCCATACCCAGACCACTTTAATCTCTGAAACTGTTAAACTGATGCAAATGTGATCGGGAGGGTGTGGGAATGTAACTGTCGGACCCTGGAGTCATTTAGTGACTGCCTTTAATGGGTGGGACCAAAAGGGAGGCCCCAAAAAAAAAGTTCGCCCCAACAAACGGAGACAGACCCAGCCGAAGCCGGGGATGTGATTCGATCGCCTCCATACCCTCCGGCACAAAGCCCAGAGTCACCAGATCCGTCGGCACCGGGTCGTAGTCCTGAGGCTCGGGCGCCGTGAAGTTGGGGCGACACTCAGCCACTTCGCCCTGTCTTGTTTGAGGGTACGAACTCTTTTGTGTTTGGTTTCCAAGACCAAAAGGACCCCACTCTTTTGTGGTTTCTGCAAGGCTAAAAGGACCCCTCTCTTTTGTGTTCGCTTTCCAAGGCCAAAAGGACACCACCCATGTGTGGACTGCCCTCATTTTGAGGCGTACCCAGTTGCGCATTTCCGAAAGGACACGCCACGGCTGAAAGAAGCACACACCCGAGGTCCTTCCTTTTGTTTGAAACCCTCCAGGCGAAGCTCCAAAATGGGAACCGACTTCCCTCTGGTTTCCCATTAAAGCATGCTCACAAAGGGTACCCTCCAAAAAGACACGATCATTTGATTGCCCGACATGCTGTGATTGATTGTCTTATGGCCATACCCCCTTCCTAGTAGGAGTTAGGTACAGACCTCGCAAAATCCCCTGACCTCCGTCCCTTGCTAGAGGTAAGCCGCAAACCCCAGACACCAGGTGGGCGATGTGCTCGATGTACGCCACCTCCGGCAACGAGACCCCGTTGATCCATTTTATTGTCACCAGTTGCCTGAGTGAACCTGTTTGAATATGTGACATGTCGAAACCTGCAAAGAGTTTCAGGTTCGCCACACCCGGCAAAAGCAACAGTGACGTGCAAAAAAGACACACCTCACACATCACACATCACACATCACACAGACACACACACACACACACACACACACAAAGAAACTGGGCGCAGCCCAGCAATCAGAGCTCGCGAGCGGAAATTCTAAGCAGGCTGCCCGGAAGGAAGGGTCCAAGGTGGTTACCAGGCCCCAGTCGAGGATGCACAGCCTGCGCTCAGGGCTCGCGTTTCGGGCGTTCGGTTTGACAAGGCAAGAGGTCCTTGCTCTTCATGCAGTTGCCATGCATGGAAGTCGCCATAAACATATTCTATGTACTGTAGATCCCATTCAAAAAGGGGAGTCGCCAAGGGCAAGTGACGAGAAGTTTGCCTCTACTGGGTTTCAACCTAAGTAGGAACCCCCAAGTGAAATGAACTCGCTGCGATCCCCACTGCCAAGTAGGGCTGACGCTTGGTCGCAGGCTTGGGGCTGACACTCAGAGAGTCGCTTTTTTTGTCAAACGGAGCAGGAGAACCAGGCCAAAGCTGCACCAGCCTTCAACAATGTTTGAGGTGTTGGGGGGGTGGGCTGCAACAAATGTAAGGCGGTTTGCATTTTCTGCAAGGCCAACATGAAACCCCAACGTGACACGAGGCCCGCCTGCCGTCTGGCGTCCGCAGCAAGTTGCCGGGGTGGGGGTCCTGTCAGAGGGCGCAGGGACCCCACATGCGGGTTGCCGAACCTCCAAATTTGGCTGAAAAAGAAACAGGAAACTGGGAGTCAGCTTTGGAGCCAAACATTGCAGTGAGGCAAAGCATTTCGGATCGAAAGCTGCCGGAAACTGATAATCTGGTCAAAGGCAGAAAAGGTCACAACATTACTGTCGTGTTCATCTCACGACTTCGTGCTCTGCACATAAAGCGTCGCACCCTCCTGTGTTACTCAACAAATCCGCCGACCCCATGCCTCGGCATGGGGGCGGTGTGTTCTGTGTTGCTTTTGTTGATATGCTTTCTACAAGTTTAATGTGAATATGATTATGTATATATATATATAACTTAAATGTCCCTTGGGGCGGCCCTTAGGGCTGGTTTCTACGTCAGCTGGATTTCTGGATTTCTGGATTTCTGGATCTCTGGATTTCTGGATCTCTGGATTTCTGGATTTCTGGATTTCTGGATTTCTGGATCTCTGGATTTCTGGATCTCTGGATTTCTGGAATTCTGTTTTTTCCGCGCCCCCCCTTCCCCCCCCCCCCCCCCCCTCCCACCACCCTCCCCCCCCCCCCCCCCTCCCCCCCCCCTCCCCGCCGCCCGCCCCCCCCCCCCCTCCCCCCCCCCCCCCCCCCCCCTCACAAGAGTCAGCATACCCACAACCTCATCATTTGCTTACGCCCCGCGCCACACCAGCATATAATCAAACCACTCGCCAAAATCTATATAAAATGCTTCAAGTTATTCATTTTAAAGAATAACTTAAACCATTTCAATCAACATCGCAACATTTATTGATATGTCCTTCACTTGATACATGGTCGCACCAAGCATAATAAATTTCTTTCTTCTTACATTTCAAACATTTAAACCACAACACGCCATTTACAATTTCTTTACTATCCGGTCGTTCCATTTTTTCACCATTCAAACTTTTCTGTAAAAAATATTGATGGTTTCCAGATTTCTCGTGTTGAGACTTCTTACCTTTTTTAACTTCATAATCGCACAATTCGCAATAATGAACTTTCTGTCGGTATTCTTGTATTGTTGCTTTCCCTTTCTCGCTCTCTCTCCATTTCTTTTTCCTTTCCTTAATGTCATCAATATTCTCTTCTTCGTATTTTTTCCTATACCCTTTTACCCTTTCAGGATTATTCAATTTCCATTGCTTTTTCGTTTCATCATTCTTAATCTTATTTTGTTCTCGGCAGTAATTACAAAGTTTCATCCTATTCTTAAACAAATCGGATGAATAAGTATTATCACATTGCTTACAAGTTTTCATTTCTTCACTCATCCTCTACCATAGTAAGGCGTCATTCCTTTAAATGGTTTTAGACATAATATTTAACGAGCTTAGGGGTAAGCCCCCTGTCCCGAAAAAACCCACCAAACAACAAACCAAACAAAAAACCAAACAACAAACCATACAACAAACAATTACAAATATATTGAATAAATCTAATAATTTTATCTTATTAGAATTATTCATGACACATACCGTATTCTGGATGAGTGTGAAAAAAGGGTTCGTTTTGGACACTGGGAGGGGTCAGTGTGGACACTGGGAGGGGGTCAGTGTGGACACTGGGAGGGGGTCAGTGTGGACACTGGGAGGGGGTCAGTGTGGACACTGGGAGGGGGTCAGTGTGGACACTGGGAGGGGGTTGTCTTCTTTTAAAATTCATTATTTTCAAAACTTTAAGTTTCATAATTTTTACTCTTTTTGTCGTTGGACGAACCTGCAAATTTCAAGTTTCAACACCAACCCCAAACTCGTTTTCCTTAATCCACCAAACTCACCAAAATTTCACAATTAATATCAGCATTTTTTAAATCCAACGATATTACATTAAAACCGAGCGACTTTGCAATAAGTCCAACACTGCCTGTTCCACTAAACATCTCTAATAAATTCATTTATTAGAATGATTTAGATATTTATTATATTAATCCATAAGTTTATATTCATCACCATCTTTCGCGATTTTATAGTATTCTAAAGTTTGTTCTTTTGGGTTCTTAATGCGCCCGTGGGACACCATCTCAAAATAAGATTGTCTTTTAGTTTCATGGTCGCCTGAGGGACGCCCTAATCCTTTCTTTTGAAAGATTTTATCTATCTTATCCTTATCGTCTTCGTTATTGCTTTTAGGTTGGTTTATTTGTTCATCAATATTCTTAATAAGTTCAGTTAATGTTTTAATATTCTTACTAATAATTATAATCTTTTTCATTAAATCGCTAATTGTAGAATCATTTTCTGACATTTCTATATATATAAATATTTATATAAATATTTATTTATTTATTTATGCGTTTAACGTGGTGTTAAATCTACTCTTTATATACTAATTTTTCATCATTTGTTTAATAGTTTCCTGTGTTTCGTTATCACCATTTTCCGATAGTGTTGCATCCTTACCCCATTTAAAAGTTATATTATGAGCATCGGTTTCTAAATTAATACTGTCTTTGGTTTTATCAATATTCATTTTCTTATCATTTTTAGATATTTTGAATCCTATTGGCACACAACTACATTTACAGTTTCCTTTCTTTTCTATTGATAATTCATTCTTCGTCTGTAATATTTTTTTACACATAGGACAAGCAAACTCAATAACTGATGTTTCTTTAACAATTTCTTCTTTATCTTCATCTGTTGAAGATACAGCTGGTTCTGTCTTATTCTTTTTGATTTTCTTTCTTCCCATTTATATTAATATTTACATTTTTATTTTTGATATATTGAATTCCTAACTTAATTATTTCTAAAACAAAATAGCATACTTTCTTACATTTATTGTCAGTTATTATTACTTGTTCTATATTTTCTACTTCATCTATTATATCAATATAATCTGTATAACTCCTTTGCATATTAAATAATAAGATAAATTATTCTAATTAATCTTATTATTTCATGCATAATAGAATATTGATGGGGCACAGCACTTGGAGTTTTCATTGCAATTCTTCAAACTAATTATCTTCAATGCTTATTGATTGAAGCAATGGAAAACCTGCTCCATTTTATGATATTCGCCACCAGCATATCATAAAAATGATGTTCCATTTAATATTAATTACAAGTTAATTTTTAAATATAATTTTCTATATTTCTTTAATATCAACTATGACAGATGTCCCAATAATAAAACCAATAAACATAACTGATTATGAATTCAAACAATCTAAATATGAGCACGTGCCAAAATTACCATTTAGAAGTATTATAGTTGCGAGTTCGACAGGCGGGAAGACTGTCCTTATTCAAAATTTAATATTGAATGTTTATAGAAATTCATTTGCAAGAATATTTATATTTTCCCCCAGCGTTCATAATGACCCAACTTTTACAGAAGTAAAGAAATATATTAGGGATGAACTACATGTAGATGATGAAAAAGAACAAATTTATTTTGATAATTATAATCCAAGTGATTTAGAAAATGTAATCGAAAGACAGAATAAAAAATTATTAACTATATGAAATCTAAAAAGATAAAGAAACTGCACTCAATATTAATCGTTATAGATGACCACGCTGACGACCCTAAATTTGTTAGATATAGTAAATTATTACATGGATTATTTACAAGAGGCAGGCGCGATGCAGTAAGCGTAATTTGTTCAACACAGAAATATAATGTGTTGGCGCCTATCATTCGTTTAAATGCCAGTTCATTATATATTTTTAGGTTGAAAAATGCCAGTGAATTAATGAGTTTTATTGAAGAAAATAGCGCCATTGTTGATAAACAGCAATTATTAGATATGTACCATCAAGCCGTTAATGACGCTTATAGTTTCTTCTACGTGAATATGAATGCTAAGAATGTGAATGACATGTTTTTTATCCGTTTTGAACATTCTTTTAAGATTACGAATGATGAATAAAGATATTCTAATTTAATATAATATAATAATATGCCGATGAAACTATGTAGATGTGGTGGATTTTATCGTAGAGGTAATTATAATTTTCATACTAATTCTTGGATACATAAACTTTATAAGGCATTGAAGAGGAGGGCAACGGACGAGGAATTATTAAGATTTCAAAATAATTTTGTTGATGAAGAAGATTTAATAGATGATATGTGTAGCAATGCCTCAACAAAATTACCCGAAAGTGAAATGACGGATTATGATAGTAATTAATAGCATTAAGCCATTGGCTTAATGTTATTAATTCAAAATAAAGAATAACTACATAAATTCAAAGCAGGTAATTTATATATTAATTTGTCAGATTTTTCTTTTTCTAATTTCTCAATTCGTGCCACACATTCTTGAATAGATTTTATTATTAAAGTATCTGCTCTTGTTTTTTCATCTACTCTTAAAGTCTTAATGTCTTCCATACTGTTATTTGCATCATTTTTACTTTGACCAATACCCATTATATATAATATTATTTAGATGTTAATTTTTCAAAATTGAAATGTTGGTTTTCTTCTTCTTCTGAATCTTCGTCTTCAGTTGGTGCTGGTATTTCTGTTGGACTTTCTGATGAAGAACTATGGACAGTAATAGGTGGAGAACTATGAACACTAATAGCTTCATTTGATGAATTGCTATTGCTACCTTGTGCATTTCCTGCTGTTATCTGATTGACTAAATCTGCGATATTTATAGTTGTTGCAACTGCGCTGTGTGATAAGTTTAATATGATATCTGCTATTGTAGCGCCGTTGCGTAGCATTATTTCTATCATTTTTGTCAGTTTGAACTTCTTTTCTTCTTCATCGCTGTCATCCTCGTCTGGTGGTTTCTTTGGCGGTGGTTCTGGCGGTTTGTTGTTGTCGAGCATTTTAGTAAAGGCTGACACCATTGCATCGCGTTGGTTTTTCAATGTTTGTGTTGCCTGTGTTCTTGTTGGCTCATTTCTTTTGTATGTGTTGTGCCAAAAGTTTTTAAGCATTATTTGAAACATATTGTCCTGGTTTTCCTTTACCTTAAACGCTTCAAATGTCATA